ATGAAGTTGTTACAACAAGCAAACGGAAAGGACATTCTTGGGGGGGAGGGGAGAGAGGGAGGAGGGAGGGAGGTGTCGGTGATGGGCCATAATAATCATATACAGTGTATATTGACAAAATAAAAATTTAACAAAAAAAAAGAATTTACTAATTGTTGATCATTAAAAGAAAGAAGAAAAATGCAGTTATGGTCAGTACGTGATTCCACCTACTACTGAAAAAGAAGCAGATAGTAATAAGAGACACTGGGTTATTTTTCCATGACAATACCAGATATCAGTGGTTCAGGATAGGTTGCTTTAAACTACTAGGTCGCAGGGTAGAAAGAGAAGAGGGTAGCTAAGCTGAGTTTGGAGGGATTCAGAGGATACACAGAGCAAGCAACTATGAGACTTGTGCCATAGATGAGATCTGTACATATTTATCTGTGTATGTTTTGTATGTGTGATATTTTACATATTATGGTTTTGACATTTACTTTACACTCTCAAAATGATGTAAAGCTTTTGAAAAGCATAAACTAAATATTGACTATTGAATATGTTAGTCATGTAAAACCAAATTTATGTCTCCCAGTTTACTGAATTTTCCAAACCAAAATATTTTAATACTATAATTGCTATTTACATTTTTCCTTAATTGAAAATCAGATATAAAAATTGACAGTAATAAAAGATGGGTATGTTCATGGTATAACTTTGTAGGGCAAGTGGAAGATTGTATCTAATATGAGGAGCTCCTGTCTTTATTTTTAGACTGGTACTTTAGACCATATTGTAAAAGATAGCCAATGATGGTGTGGATTTTACCTTTAAAAAGTTTTTTTTTGTCAATAACTTATTCTTGAATGTCATTCATAGTTTAATACTCTGCACATTTATTGCCTTAGTATGATTTTCTTAAATGATGAGTTTTCAATATGATTATAGACATATAAACAGCTCTACTCTTTGTTTTATCTAGTATCTGAGAAGAATTTAGAGTTTACACATAGATTCATAGAATTTCTTGAGCTATGAATAATCTAATAGACAATCTATTTCAGAAGTTTTATTTTAGATACCAGAAATAGGGTCCTAAGGTTAAATGCCTGATTCCGGCTCACAATGTGCTTGATGCAGAGCTGGATCTCATTTCTTATTTACTTAGACTCAACTCTGGGCTGCTGCTGCTGCTCTGCATTGTCTGTGTTTCTGCACTTGTTTCCTCCAACATCCTCTGTCCTGTCACATAAACAATTTTTATTCAGACGTATAATAGTTTCCAGCTTTTTCTGTCCCCTCTTAGCAATGAACAATGTTGTTAACTTACCCTGTACACCTGTCTTGTGTACCTCAAGTAGTTTTTTGTGAAGATAAAGAATCAATATTAAAACTATGAAGTTCTGTGGCAGAGGTCACAATCCTCCCAGTATTGACCCATAATGTTTAAATTTGAATTTGCTGCCTTGAATGTATTGCTAATATTTAAAAATTGGTGCATTTCACATAAAAATATGGATATTTCAGTTTCTGTAGCACGTTCCATAAATCTGGCAACATGGATGGCCTTGTCCACTAGTACTAAAACCCTTTCAATAGGATATGCACTTTCTATTTTACCAGAGTCCCCATCATTCCTTATGTATTTCCCAGCCCTTCGCCAAGTGTCAGTTGTCATTCATCATTTTATGACCTCTTGCTTCCCTAATTTAAATTATCAGCCTTGATGTCCATAGAGATTTGGATATTTCAACTCATGTTCTCTGAAAATATAAGTTGAAATTAATAGCAGTACATTTTTTTTCAGGGCATAAAGGGTAAGGTTTGGGGAAGATAAATATAAAACAATGAAGAGGAAGTTTGTCAGACAATGACTAATATTTTTTCTAATTTGCTTTTCAAGGCAAACATGTCCCAAGTAAGGCAAGTGGGACTGCTGGCTGCTGGATGTCAACCATGGAATAAGGATGTATGTGCCGCCTATGGAGACAGGTTTGCATATTGTGCGACCCTTGCTATCTATATTTATCAGGTAAAAAATACTAAATCTTTTCAATTTTTAATTTTATCAGGTAAAATTCATACTTAATACTTATTTTTAAATGCCTGTCACATTAAAAGCATAATACTAGCATTTCATTATATTTTTATGTTTTCTGCAATTTATAGTGTATTGGATTTACAAATTAAACTTAGAAAATGCTCATATCATATTATTAAATTTTAGTAAATTTGATGTGAGAAAATTCTCTTAGTTGAAGAATGTGCATAATCCACTAGAGATCATTTTAAAATTAGTTCACATATATTTTGAATATTCTTGGCAGAAAAACCTTTAGAACTACTTTTTTATGTGTTCTAACTCCATTCTGACTTCTTTTATCAGTTCCCAATTTATAGAGCCAATGGCCTCTTGAATTTTTTCATATAGAGATGCCATAAGTCCAGTCTTTCTTCTCAAACCAAGAGTAAATAACTCTACATCACCAGCCAACCATTCATCTAAACCAGAAATGTGAGAGTTATCTTTATTTCCCTCTTGTACTCATATCATACACCCTTGGCAACCAAGAGTAGTTCTAGTTTTCATATCTTTTAGTATCTTCTTTATGTCCTTCTCACCAAAACAATTATGGTAGCCTCTTAGTAGTCTCTCTACCTCTAGTTTGACTCCCTCTAATTTGTCCTTCAGTGTAATCAATCATCTGTAATGCAAATCTAAATTTAAAAATCTTCATCTGCTCCTTATTCACTAATACTAACATCCAGACTTCACAGTATGACATTCAAGGTCTCTCATGATCTTTGTACCTCTGTTTCTCACTCTGTGTTCCAGATATACCAAACTAATTGCATTTTTAAAAACATCTCAGACTCTTTTGTATCTTGCCTTTGGTTACACTAATTTTTCAGTGTGCCTGCATTGCCTGTCTGAAAAACACTTTCTCATCTTTCATATCTTAGCTTAAGTGTATAAACTTTTTTTCCATCTTTTTTTCTCTTTATTATTAGTGAAGGGCATCATAAAATGGACTGCCTTTCTACATGTTTCCATTTACTAGAAGTTAGTCTTCCTCATCTTTGAATTCTCAAATTTTTGCACACTCTGGCACTTAGTAGATATTCATTAAATGTCTTGAACGAATATTTTGGGTTTTTTTAAAGTCTTGAAAGACCTAAAAGTAAAAATATTATTTTATTATGGAGTAAAAATCTTTTTTATTACTACATATTATTTCATTCCTAATAGCTCTGTAGTTTATTGAAAATTTAAGAAATAATAGCATGAATTTATAAAACAATTCATTTTCCACAAGTTAGAGTAAGATTTTATATAATTCCTTCCTCAAGCATTTAGAAATATCTAGCAATCACAATGTAATTTCACTGTCATGTTCTTTCACTTCTCATCCTTCCTATGTATGACAGCAGCAAGCCTTCTAAATGCTTCCTTTTTTTCTCCCATCTGTCTCCTTTACACTCTGCATGTACTCCCAAGCTTCTCACTCCCAAATTCCTCCGACAAAATTCCTTCTAAATACGAAGAATTTATCAGGAATTTATTCCTCTCAGATGTAAAGATGGTAGGCAACTGCATGCATGAAGGCAGAATTTAAGTTTTTTCAAATTTGTATGTGTCTTACATTTTATGATATTTAGGAAGATTAAGCTAAAATTATTAATATAAAAACTTGAAGAAAGTTTGCCTGTCATTAAACACTGAAACAAAATAAAAATTACCCTAATTTAGAAGTTAATGTAAATAAACTCAGGTAACAGTTTACTACAGTGTCTGCTGTAAAACCTTTTTTCAAAGTATGCCAATAGAAAAGTACATTATTAAATGGTGACATTAATATTAAGTAAACATATTAACAAGTATTGCTTTAAATGTGATCATCTAAATTAAAGCGCTTTGAAAATTATGCTACATAAAATATAAAATGTTATAGTTATTTTTAGAGGAAGTATTTATTAAATAACACCCAATGCCAATGTACAGTCTAAGTCTGATAATCTGTCATACACTGGATGATGACACTGATGTATTATCAGATTTTTCTGAACTTTTAAATGCTATTTATAAATGGCATTAGAATTTTTTTGTAACCATTGAATTGTAATTCACTGATATATTGTATTCAAATACTCTAAAATTAGAGTAATATGTGGTTCATCTCAATGCAACAGTAGTCTGATAATACTGAATTGTGAATATAAATAGGAATGCGTCAATTAATCGCTACAAATAGTTTAGTATTCTATAGGTGCTTGCAGATACTATATGGATAATTTGTATGATAAAGTCAGTGAAGATCACTGATTTGCAACATAGCTTCTTCATACATTTATTATATTTATAGATTCTTTTACTTAATTTCTAACTTATATAGTGAGGTTTTAAAATAGATACATTCAGAACATCTACCATAAGTAACTTAAGTTGCTGAATAATTTAAAACTTAAAACACTATTTATTCCTAAATGTACGGGTAACACAATTGTGTATTTAAATAGGCCACCTAAAATTATTATTGCTGTAGTGGTAATTAGATGACAACTCCATTGGTACTAGGTTATCTTTAATAATGTTTTCATCCAAAGTTGTCCAAGAATAACTAAAGTTAGAGAAAGAAATTATAGAAGAGAAAATCTTAGGAAATAACTAGATTATTAGGCAGAAATTTATATACAAACATGTTCACTGCAGCATTATTTGTGATAGTGAAAATTATATTACTTAAATACTAAACAATAGCATAATGGTTTAAATGCTAAACAATAGCATTTTTTCTTTCAATAATATTAACTGAATCTTTTCTATTGACTAAGCATTACTCTGCACTAGGAATGCAACTATGAAAAAACCAGGCAAATTCTTCTTGTGGAACTTATATTCTTAGTAAGGGCAGGAGGCAGGGAGAGATCATAACCCACATAAGTAAACAAATGAGTAAATGTTTCAGGAAGAAGTGTGTTTTACAAAGGCTATAAAAACAGGTAATAAGATAGTCATGGTATAGATTCTGGGGAGAGTTATAAATTTCGATAGCATGGTTAGAAAATATCTTTCTGAAGAGATGCTTTTGAACTGAGACCTGAACAGAAGAATGAATAACCATAAGCAAATCAGTGGGGAGAGCATTAGAGGCCAAGGGAATAAAAAAGCAGAAGGGTGTAAATCGCAAATGATTTTGCCATATTAAAGAAACAAGGAGTTCAGAGTTAACAAGGAAGAAACTGGTATCAAATTATTTGGCAAGGTAGAGGTTTGATGATGTAGGTCATTGAAGGCCATATTAGCAGTGAGGATTTTACTGCAAGTGTATGGTTAATGAAAGATTGGCATAATAAATATTTAATATAATAATAATTTTTTTAACAAATGAAAGAGGTTTATTTGGGTCATGATTCTGTGGCAGCTGCATCCAACCGCAGGCCTAAGGCTGTTTCCACTCATGGCAGAAAGTTTTGCCAACATGTTCAAGGAGACCAGACAGTGAGAGAGGAAGGAAGAGCTAAAATAATGATTTTTAAAACTTCCAGTAACACTGTGAAATGTTCATTATATGGTAAAGGAAAAAGACTAACTACAACAAAATGACATACACTCATACAATGTAATCCAAAATATGCTGAAAATAATAGAGATTAATTAATCCTGTAATAGCAGAGGCATGCTTACAAATAAAATAGAAGAATTAGGCTATTTATTTTGTCCACTTTCATTATAAAAACCCAGCATAATGCCTCATCTGAAAAAGAGTAACATAAAAAGAGTCCATGATACCATTGCTCTGCAAGCTTTGGACATCTTAATAATGTAGTAATGAATATTTGGTTTATTTAACCTAACTTTTTTAATATAAATAATGAAAAATTGCAGAAAAATAATTTAAAAACAGGGGATTTCCCCCCCTTGTAAATAGATATAGTTATGGAAAATATAATAAAGCTCTGAATTATTATGCATATTTGAATGTAAAACATTTTTACTTATTTTTAAAATTAATACGTTTTATTTCATTTTTTTGTTTCAAATGGTTTCTTTCAATTGATTGACTACACTTAAATACACTTGGACATAGACCAAGGCTTGAAATGTGTTCATATCTATATTATTAGGTGAACTGATTTTCATGTATGTAGCTTTTATTTTGTATAATGCAATTATTCATGGATAGTGTATTATCTAAAAAGCATCACTAAAATGTTTTCTCTATGTATTTTGTTTTAGTTGGATCACCGTTATAATGAATTCAAACTTCATGCAATTATGTCTGAACATAAAAAAACAATCACAGCAATCTCTTGGTGTCCGCATAACCCTGATGTGTTTGCAAGTGGCAGTACCGATAACTTAGTGATCATTTGGAATGTTGCAGAACAAAAAGCCATTGCTAAACTCAACAACACAAAAGGTATATTTATAACTGGGATTTATTTTATTGATTAAAATATTTTCATTTCAACAAGCACTATTAGTATTATTATTTCAGGTTTTAAAGTAGTGTTTTCTAGTGGTGACCTATGTAAGAAACATTTTGTGTCATGACTCGTGTGTGCTTGTATACAAAACTGAAACAAAATTTCGTAAAATAATTATAGAGATGGTCAACGAAAAACATAATCAATACCAAGTAATTTCATTAGTGTTAAAATGTAACAAAAAATTTCCAAAACATACATAGAAATAATAATTAGAAAAGATTTTATCAATAGCAAGAGTAACAGGCCTTGCCTATTCATGACTCTATTCCAATCTTTAACATACAAGCACAATATTATGCATATATTCAATGCCCTGTTGAGCTGGTTTTATGCCTTTATTATTAATTTGATCAAGGTAGAATGTTTTACTTTACACAAATAGGTCTTTGTGAAATTGATTATCATTATACTTTTTCTACTTGGCATTAGGAACTCTTATTTAATCTTACCCTAAAATAATGATAAACAATCATTTTCTGTGTCACAATAATTCACTTTCTTTTTGAGCACCAAGTGTACCTCAGTTATTGATTATGATTTTGAAAACTAATGGTGGATATATTTTCCATATTCAGCCTCTCTAAAAAATGATTATAACTTTGAGATAGAAAACTGAGACTTCTTAGTCTCACTAACTTATTTTTGTTAAAAATTTCTTTGTAACATTCTTGTAAGTATGTAGTAACAATACTGGGAATTCATAGGCAATTATCTTTAAATTTTGTTTCCATAATAATAATGTCTTTGGAACCTTTAGATATATTCATCATATTTAGTACATTGCTTTTTTCTAGGTCTTTAAAGTTGCTGAAAATATCAGTAAAATACCTCAATTTTGTTACTCAACTATCATCTTAAAGATATTTGCCAAAGGAGGTTAATTTTCAACTAAAAAATGTAAATCTCATTCTGAAGTTCATATACCCTGTTTTTTATTTTCACTTGCAACAATGATGTATTAGATAGTGAGTAAAGTTTGCTCCAGTCTCTAAGCAAAATATTATTAAAAGTCAGCTCTTCACTGAGTTTCCATTAATCCAATTCACAGTTTTCCTTAAGGTTTTCAGTACATCAGTGAAGAAAAGCCCAATTACTTTTAGTACAAAGCTTTGTGATATATAACAGTGATTGGTAGCCTCAGTCAAGATTTTCATATCTCCTCATGTTTTCTGTCATATCTGTTCCTCTACCAATCATGGATTCTATAGGTTATTGTAGTACTGTTTATATTGATCAACAGTGCATTTTCCCAATACTTTAAATCCAGATTTGTGTAAGATTGATTTTTAATAACACAACAAATTCTCCTTAAAATTCTTTCCTCATTTTATGTGACATAAGCCAAAATTCGTGCATGATATCATTGTCCTCATAAAGTTGTAACACAAAACTATACCAGGCTATAACTGCATAATAATCATATTTTCTAAATGTTATGCAAAAGTACAGTTTAGACAACATATTATTGTATTATCAACTACTTTATCCACTATTTATCATCAAACACCATATATGTTGCATCTGTTCATGGTGAAAGACTTTAATTCATCAGCTGTGTACACAATAGTTTTCTCTGCTCCTTGTTGTACAATTAACTAAGACTTTCTCATTAACAGTTGTAGAACGATTAAATAATTGTAGTAACAATTTTTGGTCAATTTTATATCTTTTTTTTCCTCAAAAATTTTCAAAGTCACCAATATCTTCCTTGTGCTGTTTCCAAACATCTTCTTAATTTGAAAATTGAAACCTTTGATATTTTATTTGAAAAAAATTATGAATATTTTTGGGAATTTTCATTTTAAATAACCTCTTTTGAAATGTCTTAGACTCCATTTTTCTTTTCAGAATTCAGTGTAAGCAAAGTAGAAATGTGTATTAAGTGAACTTATTTTTAACTTACAGTAGTTGAACTTGAACCTGCCATTGTATTTTTTACTTCATTCTTTTTTTTTTTCTAATAATCAAACAATCCATTTAAAGGAAAATGAGTATCAGTTTGTTTAAATGTAAAATGTTAAAATTGTCACCAACTTGAAAAATGTCACAGTTTGTGTAACAGTGGATAATAATGCTACTTACCTGTCTCAGAATATTGTTGGGAGAATTAAATGAGTTGATATTTACAGAGTTTTTAAAGTACTTATACATAATTCGCTACTATAGAAGTATTTTCTAATATTATTATATGGCATTGTTTCTGGTCTTTTCAGTTTCTTTGCTGCCTTTCTCTAAATATGCTTTCAGACAGCCAGCATTCTGTTGTGCTTCACTTGTGTGATGGTGGTTTGGTCTATACTGAGTATCTTATCCCTTTTGGGGAAAATTCTACTTCTGTTAATATATCCTAAAACCACATCCGATTTTTTATTGGCCTTATTCATGGCTTCACTTGTGTGATGGTGGTTTGGTCTATACTGAGTATCTTATCCCTTTTGGGGGAAATTCTACTTCTGTTAATATATCCTAAAACCACATCCGATTTTTTATTGGCCTTATTCATGATTCATTTATTCTTTTCATTCAGCACACATTTATTGAGTTCCCATTATGTGTCAGGCCCTGGACTAGGCATTAGGCTTCCGGTTTCTGCTTCTTGAAGCACATAGACTGTTGACACAAACTGAACCAATGCCTTTCAACTTTGAGTCTTTGTTCATATCATTTTCTTTTCCTGGGAAATACTGCTCAATCCATGTATTTAAACTCTGCCCTTCCTTCAAGGTATAATTCAAATCCAATTTCTTTCCAGGACAGTAGCCCAGTGGTTCCCAGACCTTTCTGTACATAAAAATCATTTGGAGAAGCTTGTTAAAAATAGATTCCTCGGCCCTAACTACACAGGATCTGATGTGTTATATTCAGGCTGATGATTCTGATGCAGACAATTAATGTGTTTGTGTTGGGATATTCATAATCTCTCTGTTGAATCATAAATTTCCCGTAACACTTATTTTATGTATGCTTTATTTGATCACAACAATAGCAAATACATTAACAATTAACTTTTATTTTCTGTCTTATCGTTTAAAAGGTGCTTTAACATATATTTTTATATTTCCTTTTCTTAACATTCATGTGGTCAGCTGTTTTTATTATCTCCATTTTATAGATGAAGAAAAAGGAGGTTTAGAGAGAGAAAATGACTTGTTTAGTTTATCTGAGGCGAATGTAAGATCTGAATCTAAACTCCTAATAAGACATAGATTGTAACATTAAATTCATTGTATTAAATCCTTATAGTAGCATTTATCTTTTCATGTACTTAATTCTTAGCTCCCCAATTTATATTTAAGATGCTTTAAAGCAAGAACTGTATCCCATATTACCTTGGATACCTAGAATCCCTACAGAAGGTCTCACAGACAAGTACACAATAGGTATTTATTGCTATAATATATAGTCTACCAAAATAAATAACTCTATAAATTTCTTTGACTGTATGAAGCATTTAATCATATTAGTAGTGTTTGAACCTAACTATTTTTCTTTTCATCATGAAAGTTCCCTGCATATATTCTCTATAGCCTTTGGGATTACTTTTAAATCCAATTCCCAAGTAAGAAAGTTATGTATTTTTTTTAAGAAGAATATATTCTTGTGTTTAAATTTGTTTTAGAAATGTACAATGCAAGCAATATTTAATGGTACAAACTTATGCCGCATCTCTTTGTGATGTATCAATGTTTAATTTATTCCAGGGATTCCTGCCTCTCTTAGCTGGTGCTGGAATGCAGATGATGCTGTGGCATTTGTTTCCCACAGAGGCCCACTTTTCATTTGGACTATCTCAGGACCAGATAGTGGAGTGACTGTACACAAAGAAGCTCATAGCTTCTTGTCTGACATCTGTATATTCAGATGGCATACCCAGAAAAAGGGGAAAGTTGTGTTTGGTCACATTGATGGAAGTCTATCAATTTTCCAGCCAGGTAAGAATTTAATTAGTCTGGTCTCTTATGTTATTATTTTCTTAGCATATGTAATTTCTTATTTACATAGCATAAAGCCAAATGTAACAAAATTTCAGTGTAATAATTGTGAAAATAATACCCAGCAATGGTCATTTCAAATATTTATTTGAAGTAGATTTTGTTTACAGGCATTGTAATATATTCAACTTAGCTGTGCAGATTTTACTTTGAATTAACCCAAATCAGTTATTTGTCCCATATTTGTACTTTTTAAGTAAATTCTGTATTTCTGCACATTTATTAAGAAAGTAACCTGAGTGAACAAGGACATACAGTTGGAAGATATGATGACTTATTAATACCACTCCAAAATATTTTTCCACTGGCTTATAAAAATACCATTCTGATGCCATAGCTCCTTAGAAAAAGCTTTGGACGTGGCATAAAAAGGAACGATACAACCCTTTGAACTCTTATTAGTCAATTAATTTGGCTGAATGAAAGGGTGTGAAAAATTAGTTTAAATTATAAAAATTTAAGCAATAACAAAAGGTGTAATTAAAAAAATATCTGAATTACTCTCCCCTCATAAATAAGTATCGTTAACATTTGAGAAACATGCTTTTAACCATTTGGCATCTCTGTTGATGTATGTGACTATTGTTGAATAGATGGATGGATGAAAGTGCATTTTTAGGAACAGGATAACTATTTTTACAAAACATTACATTCAATTTATTTGAAAATAATAGAAGGAAAAGAAATTGAACAGAGGAAGTTATGAAAATTTAAATCTTTCTTCTGGGAATGACCTTTCTAGAGTTAAATAAAAATATTGGGGCCGGCCCAGTGGCGCACTGCTACAGTGTGCCGCTTGGGAGCGCGGTGGCACTCCCGCCGAGGGTTCGGATCCCACATACAGACCGGTTCCCGCTCACTGGCTGAGCGAGGTGTGGGAGCAACACCGAGGGTTGCGATCCCGTTGCCGGTCCCGGTCCGGTCCGGGTGCAACACTGAGGGTTGCGATCCGTTGCCGGACACGAAAAAAAAAAAAGACAAAAAAATATATATATATATATTATGTAAAGCACTGATGCATTGGAGCCATTATATCTTAAATACATATTAAGCAGGATCTATTTCTTATCTTTTAAAGGGAGATAAAAGTAAATATACATATACATCTTTACCACCTCCCCTCTATGCTCTTTGTACATGTCCTCTGTTGTTCCTTCTCGTGTTGCTAATTTAACATGGGGGCAGTTTCATCTATTTGCTGAAAATTAGTATGATGAGGGATCAATGACTGTTGCTTTGTTTGGATTTGTTGTCTCAAACACCTGCACTGTTACTTTCTCTGTTACATCCTCTGCAGTGTGAGCAGATTCTGTTTTATAGTTGGTCATTAGTCTCATAGTTAAGCAACATAATTCACAGGCTTTCTCTTTTTTGATCTGATGAGTACCATTTCTGTATCCTGTATTCTTCATCTCCCGCAATCATCCTTAGTTTCAGGAAGGTAATTTATAGACAATTACAATTATAATTATAGCTGCATGCTCTGAGGTCCATCCTTTTACCTCTCTTCTCTGGGTTATATAACCAGATGTCATTAGGGGTAGTCGCCTAGTTCTCCCTGGCTGGCCTACAACCAGAGATGTAATCAGGATTGTGACACCTGCTTTCCAAGGAATCTGTGTGCTGCCTAAAATCTGAAGAGGGTTATGAGAATCATGCTTTTATTTTTATCTAACTTGCATTCTAGATATTTTTCATAGTTTGTGATTTATCATTGTGGCCATCTCCTTTTTCATTAACTCGGGCTTCCTCTTTTCTTGGCTTATTATTTTTATTAGGCATCATTGACGGTTTTAAGCCATAGACCTTGAGACATCATACTATGTATATAAGATGTAAATCACTGAGACTGTGTGCTTTTTTTTTTTTTGGCATATTAAAGATAAGAAGGAATAAAGACCCTATCCTAGGTTTTGCTTTTCTCTATCCTAGGTTTACATCAGGATAAGAAAGTGTAGTATTTGAAAAATCTGAGCTGTGTGGCTTCCAGAAGAGGCCATTGTTTTCCAATAACTCAGTCTTCCAGTTCGGCATATTAAAGATAAGAAGGAATAAAGACCCTATCCTAGGTTTTGCTTTTCTCTATCCTAGGTTTACATCAGGATAAGAAAGTGTAATAATTTAACAATCTGAGCTGTGTGGCTTCCAGAAGAGGCCATTGTTTTCCAATAACTCAGTCTTCCAGTTCTTAACCAAAGTAATTTGTACATCTGTACCCAAGTCATCAAGTGTTATTTTTCTGCATCCACCCATGTGTTAGTTTACTAGGGCTGGTATTAAAAAGCACCACAAACTGGATGGCTTAGAACAGCAGAAGTTTACTACTTCACAATTCCAGAGTATGAAATAAAGTGTTGAAGGGCCATGCTCCCTATAAAGGCAATAGGAAAAGATCTGTTCCAGTCCTTTCTCCTAGCTTCTGGTAGTTCCTCGGCTTGTTGCACCATAATTCCAGTCTTCACGTGGCATCCCCTCTGCATGCATGCATGTCTGTGTGTCCAAATTTACCCTTTTTATAAGGACACAATCATATTAAATTAGGGTTCGCCCTAAGGATTTCATCTTAACTTGATTATCTGCAAAGACCCTACCTCAAAATAAGATCTCCTTCACAGGTACTGGTGGTTAGGACTTCAACACTTTTTGAGGAGGAATACCATTCAACAACTTCTTAACCTCATTTATATCATAGGATTTACTTAGCAATTAATATGCACAAAGCATTATGAAAGATCCAGTCCTGCTGGGTATTTTCCTTTTGTGCATACATGAGCAAATGGATCAGGAAGCAAACACTGCCTTTTAATTCTTGCACTAGACTCTGGATTGTGAGTTTGAAACTTTGAGACTGTTAGCATTAGTATTAGTATTCTTAGTCTTCTTAACTTTTCATAAGGAGTTGTCAACCTTACCTTCTTAATGACTTATTGGTACCACAAATGGTTCTGTCCCTATGTTACAAGATATATATCCTTCAGGTTCTTGGAGGAAATTCTGACCTCAAGCTCTCTGTTGTCTAGTCTTTCTCTCTCTCAGAAGAAAAAATAAATAGTCATGGGGGACTACTCACAGTAATGCAGTACATTCATCATTTAAATCAGTCATATTTAAATGGTGCTTTGTATATTTGTATATTTATGTGTGTGAATTGAGAGTAGGATTTGATAGGTGATCCAGCTGGACTTTAAACCATTTGTTCTCTTTCAGCCTGAACAGCACCATTTTATTCTGCATTATGTATTGGATGTTCACGTAAAAATTATCATATGAACAGAGGATTTTAGGGTATAAAAATTGGAAAACTCTTAGCTATTTCAAGTTATGTTCCTAGACCAAGTTTATCAGAGAAATTTTTAAAAATATTCATTAGAGAAATGTTTAAATTGAATTACTTGATTTGATATTATCCCATGAATGTGTGTTAATCAGATTTGCATTGTTTTATTTAAAGAATGTTGTTGACGACATAGTCGCTATGTAACACTGCGTCTCCCTTTAATTTTTTAAATTTTTATTTATTTTATTTCATTTTTTATTGAAACATAATTGATTGTATGTATCTGTGGGGTACAGAGTTGAATATCAGTACCTGTGTGCAACATGTACTCTCAAATCAGGATAATTAGTATACTCACATTATACGATGTAATCGCTTTTCATGGCCCTTTACCAAATAATTCCTCCCTTACCTCCCCCTCCTCTCTCCATCCCCCTTTCCCACCTCTTGTACCTCAGTTTTGTTCTCTCCTTTTGAAAGTTCAACATATTATTGTAATTGTTGTATCTTTATTTCTTACTTTCTTTTTTTAGCTCCCACATATGAGTGAGGACATGTGGTATTTCTCTTTCTGTGTCTGGCTTATTTCACTTAATTTTTTCTAAGTTCATACACGTTGCTGGAAACAGCATGATTTCATTCTTTTTTTATGGCAGAGTAGTATTCCAGTATGTAAATATACTATATTTCCTTATCCAGTCATCCGTGGATGGATATTTAAGTTGGTTCCAACTCTCGACTATTGTAAATAGATCTGTGATAAACATGGGAATGCAGGTATCACTTTGACATGATGATTTCCATTCCCTTGGGTATATATACCCAGCAGTAGAATTGCTGAATCGTGTTGAAGTTCTAAATGTAGTTGTTTGAGGAACCTCCATTCCATTTTTCATAATGGCTGCACCAACTTACAGTCCCACCAACAGCGTAGGAGGATTCTCTTTCTTCTGCATTCTTGCCAGCATTTGTTATTCTCTTTTTGATAATGGCTAGTCTAACTGGGGTGAGATAGTATCTCAATGTGATTTTGATTTGTATTTCCCTGATGTTGAGTAATGTTTAGCATTTTTTTCATGTGTCTGTTGGCTATTTTCATGTCTATTGGCCATTTGAGATGCCTATTCAGTTCCTTTGCCAAGTTTTTAATTTTTTTTTTTTTTTTTTTTTTTTTACTGATAAGTTGTTTGAGTTCCTTGTATATTCTGGATATTAATCCTTTGTTGGATGCATAGTTTGTAGATATTTTCTTCCACTCTGTAGATTGTCTTTTAGCTCTGTTAATTGTTTCTTTTGCTGTGCAGAAGTTTTTTAGTTTGATATAATCNTAATGGCTGCACCAACTTACAGTCCCACCAACAGCGTAGGAGGATTCTCTTTCTTCTGCATTCTTGCCAGCATTTGTTATTCTCTTTTTGATAATGGCTAGTCTAACTGGGGTGAGATAGTATCTCAATGTGATTTTGATTTGTATTTCCCTGATGTTGAGTAATGTTTAGCATTTTTTTCATGTGTCTGTTGGCTATTTTCATGTCTATTGGCCATTTGAGATGCCTATTCCTTGCCAGCATTTGTTATTCTCTTTTTGATAATGGCTAGTCTAACTGGGATGAGATAGTATCTCAATGTGATTTTGATTTGTATTTCCCTGATGTTGAGTAATGTTGAGCATTTTTTTCATGTGTCTGTTGGCTATTTTCATGTCTATTGGCCATTTGAGATGCCTATTCAGTTCCTTTGCCAATTTTTTAATTTTTTTTTTTTTTTTTTTTTTTTTACTGATAAGTTGTTTGAGTTCCTTGTATATTCTGGATATTAATCCTTTGTTGGATGCATAGTTTGTAGATATTTTCTTCCACTCTGTAGATTGTCTTTTAGCTCTGTTAATTGTTTCTTTTGCTGTGCAGAAGTTTTTTAGTTTGATATAATCGCATATGTTTGTTTTTCCTTTTGTTTCCTGTGCTTTTGGGGTAATATTCATAAAGTCTTTGCCCAGTCCAACTTCCTGAAGTATTTCCCCTATGTTTTCTTTTAGGAGTGTTAAGTTTCAGGTCTTATATTTAAGTCTTTAATCTATTTTGAGTTGATTTTGGTATATGGTGAGAGGTACAGCTCTAGTTACATTCTTCTACATGTGGATGTCCAGTTTTCCCAGCACCATTTATTGAAGAGACAATCTTTTTCTCAGTGTATGTTCTTGGTGCCTTTGTTGAAGATCAGTTGGCTGTAAGTATGTGGGTTGATTTCTTGGTCCTCTATTCTGTTCCATTGGTCCAACTATCTGTTTTTATGCCAGTGCCATGCTGTTTTGGTTACTACAGGTCTGTAGTATAATTTGAACTCAGGTAGTGTTATGCCTCCAGCTTTATTTATTTATTTTTTTGCCCAGGATTGCTTTGGATATTTAGGGTTTTTTGTTGTTCCATATAAATGTTAGGATTGCTTTATCTATTTCTTTGAATAGCGTCATTGGCAGTTTGATGGGGATTGTGTTGAGTCTGTAGATCACTTTGGTATTATGGACATTTTCACATTGTTAATTCTTCCATTCCAAAAGTATGGAATTATTTTCCATCTTTTTGTGTCCTTTAATTTCTTTCAACAGTGATTTGTAGTTCTTGTTGTAGGGATCTTTCACCTCCTTGGTTCAATTGATTCCTAGTTATTTTATTTTTTTGGTGACTATCATAAATGAGCTAGTTTTCTTAATTTCTTTTTCCGCTAGTTTGTTCTGGGAGTATAAAAACGCTGACTTTTGCATGTTGATTTTGTATCCTGAAACTATACTGAAATCAGTTATCAGCTGTAAGTTTTTCTGTAGAGTCTTTAAGCTTTTCTGTATGTAGGATTATGTCATCTGCAAACAGAGACAATTTGATCTCATCTTTTCTGATCTGGATGCCTTAATTTCTTTCTCTTGACTGATTGCTCTGGCTAGAATTTCCAGTACTATGCTAAATAGGAGTGGTGAGAGTGGGCATCCTTGTATTGTTCCAATTCTTAAGAGAAAAGCTGAATGCTTTCAGGGTAATATTGGCAGTGGGTTTATCATATATGGCTTTTGTTCTGTTGAGATACTTTCCTTTTTTTTTAAAAGCACGCAGGAGAGAGATTTATTTCCAGTCTCAGTTGTAGGAAATGTTCTGCTTCTCCTGAGCACATTTTTTGTTTGTTTTGTTTTTAACCTATGGACAATGTGAATTGTGTAACCTTTCATGATTTCTTTTTTCTTTGTTTTAGCCACCTAATCTCAAAATTAAAATTTTGACAACTATGTGATTATATATTCCTCCTTTCTTAACCCCGATTTTTTTCTGTTGTTTTTTTTTATATATAGAAGTTGTCGACCTTATCTTATGATTTTTTTTATTCATGTCATATGCTTTTTTCTTATTTGACAACATGTTGTCTGATATTTGTATAATAAAATAGAACATAAATAATGTTAGTAACACGTATAAAAAGAATCAGCTATTCCAGTGACTGGCTGTAAAATTTTATAGACTCATTTTTATATCTTTATAATAAAATTATCAGATAGAAAAGAAAATGATGAATATAATTTGTTACCATTTTGATTATAAGCATGGGGCTTTTAAATAATGTGATTTAGATATTATAGCATTGCAAACCTCCCCATTTCATGTTACTATTATTTTGATTTTTTCCACATCCTGGAATATTTTTAATAAGCCAAAGAAACTAACTGAAATATGCAAATGTCTAAAAACCACTTACAGAATAGCTAGTAAAGCTTTAAGAAGTCATTTTTCTACTACTTTCAACCTTATAATGATTAGCTATGTTAATATACCTCAGTGTTTATTATATAAAACAGCAGTTTAGTAAATGCTTATTTAGGGAAAGAAAAAGAAAACAAACTTTTCTTGATGATTATATGCAAGAATTTGGTACAGTCAAATAAAGGAAATCTCACATCCATCTTCTATGATTATATATACTAAAATTTAAAATAAAATGCTACCTGCTTGAGATCAACATTACATTTAAAGGATGACATATCCTGATGTATTTAATCCCAAACCAGAAATTACCAAGATTTTCAGTTTGCTTTAGAAATATCTTATATATCCAAATAAACCCTTTCCCCCCCTGCTTTTATGATCTTATATGTTGAAAAACAATATGTAATTGTAGGATTGCAGTAAGAACTGTGGTATCTTTCAATTGTGTGTGTGTATGTTTTTAAATAAACACTTTCCTTAAAGTTTCTAATACTTAGGACTAATTGGTACTTTCTGTTAAGATTGTAGTCACTAATTTGTTTTCTCACTGCCTCTCTTTTGAGAATGAGAGGACTGGCTTATTGGAGTTCCCATGTGGTCCATCACCAGAAGCATTTTTTTCTGTTTTGCCTGTTGTGTATACATCTTTCAAGGAACAAGAGGATTGTTTGATGATTCTTTGCCTCACTTAATTACTCTTATTTCATCTCCCTGTTTTTCTGACTTCCCTTTTTGTACTGGTGGTCAGGTACGAATTATGATTATGATGTGATATGATTAATGAGAAAAAGAAATAATAGTAAATATTGATATGCCATTTATATTGTGCTCCACAGTTCTAAACCCTTTAGTCAACTAATTTATTTAATCTTTTTAGGAACTCTGTGAGGTAAGTATTATTATATTCTCCATTATAAAAACAAACACACACACAGAGAGGTTAAGTATCTTGTCCAAGACCACAAAGCCAGTAAATGCTAGAACTAGGATTTGGATCCAGTCAGCCAGCCAGTTCCAAAGTTAGTGCTTTTTAATCACTGCATGATGTTCTTCATTTCAATAAGCATTTTCCCTACTCTTTTAAAAATGCTGAGAGGATAAAGAATCATTGTCTATTATTTTACAGTAAGTGAATAAGGGTATTTTTTATACAGTAGCTGAAAGTATTCTGTCTCTTCACAGACCTCTCTCTCTCTGGACCTAAGTAAATGGTAAAAGTAAAGAGTCATTCAATTTCTGCCACTATTCCTAATTCCCCCATCTTCCCATCCCCTATCACTACTTAGCTTTGCCACTTCTCTCATGATTAGGAAACCATAAAGAAACATCATTTCAAACGATGGAGATGCAATTTAACGATAGATATGGATGAATTTCAATAAGCATTTTCCCTACTCTTATGCTGCTGTAACTCAGTGAAATTTGTAGTTGTTGACATGATCCAGGGTATTATTTATCTGTGTCTTTTTCATACAGCTTCTAGTACAAATAGGAAAATTATTCAAGGCACTAGAGATTGCCACAGCCGAGCAGTTGAGTCTGACTTTCATCATTAGGACAAACTACTTCCTCTGCATTCATATGTCAGTTATGCCTTTTGCATAGAAATGCCAGATTTGTATTCTCCATACTCTCAGAGATCAGTGGTATACAGGAGAAAATTAATAGGATCTAAATTATTGACTTCATTGTGAAATTTTTTGAAATAATTTTCTTTATATTTTAATAGGTAATAAAAATCAGAAACATGTTCTGAGACCTGAATCTCTTGAAGGAACAGATGAAGAGGATCCAGTTACAGCTCTGGAATGGGACCCACTATCTACTGATTATCTTCTTGTGGCTAATTTGCATTATGGAATTCGCCTACTAGATTCTGAATCACTTTATTGCATAACAACATTTAATTTTCCCAGTGCAGCAGCTTCTGTACAGTGTTTAGCCTGGGTTCCCAGTGCTCCTGGGATGTTTATAACTGGAGGTAAGCATACTCTAATTCCCTAAAGTTTTCATTATATGTACATTCTTTAATAAAATCAGGTAAATTGTAATCTTCCATTGGTTAATTTTGTGTAAAACACACTACTATCTCAAATGTAATCATTTATTATGGTAAATACTTAGTTTCTTTTTATTTATGTTATATGTCATTAACATAATGACAAATAAAAATGAAATGAATGCCCCGTGTTCCAGGTTTCTGGAAATACATTGGAATCTCATATATAGGCACACATGTGAGCATGTCTGTTTGTGTGTGTGCAGAAGACATAGTTAAATTTCAGGCATGACAGGCTGACAATGAAGGTACTGACCAGAAAAACTATTTACCTGGATAGGAACTTTATTAGCCTCACTGATAATTTTGACAACCCATTACCCAGTATGCCTAGGGAGACCCAGGTAGAGGAATTTATCTCCATAGTTTGAAATGATGTTTCTTTATGGTTTCCTAATCATGAGAGAAGTAGCAAAGCTAAGTAGTGATAGGGGATGGGAAGATGGGGGAATTAGGAATAGTGGTAGAAATTGAATGACTCTTTACTTTTACCATTTACTTAGGTCCAGAGAGAGAGAGGTCTGTGAAGAGACAGAATACTTTCAGCTACTGTATAAAAAATACCCTTATTCACTTACTGTAAAATAATAGACAATGATTCTTTATCCTCTCAGCATTTTTAAAGAAATTCTTATTTCTTTAGTACTTACATTATACATGCAAGGAGATGGATTCTTAATTACCTTTAATTTCACAGGATAGAATTAAAAATAGGCTGGGCCGGCCCGGTGGCGCACTGCTACAGTGCGCCGCTTGGGAGCGCGGTGCCGCTTGGGAGCGCGGCGGCGCTCCCGCCGAGGGTTTGGATCCCACATACAGACCGGTTCCCGCTCACTGGCTGAGCGAGGTGCAGGGGCAACACCGAGGGTTGTGATCCCGTTGCCGGTCCCGGTCCGGTACGGGCGCGACACTGAGGGTTGCGATCCGTTGCCGGACACGAAAAAAGACAAAAAATAGGCATAGAGATTTTTAATATATCTATTATTACTATTAGTAAGATATACTTCACAATCATAAAATTCACCATTTTAGAAATGTACAGTTTAGTACTTTCTAGTATATTCACAAAGTTATACAACTATCACCATTATTTAATTCTAGATTATTTCATCATTTCCCCAACATACACATACCTATTAGCAGTCATTTTCCATTACTCCCTCCCTAGTGGTGCACACATGTGCATACATAAACCACTAATCTACTTTCTGTCTCTCGGGTTTGCCTGTTCTGGAAATTTTGTATTAATGGAATCATCTAATATGTGGCCTTTTATGTCTGGCTTCTTTCACTTAACATGAAGTTTTCAAGGTTTATCCATGTTGTAGCATGTATCAATACTTTATTACTTTCTGTGGTTGAATAATGTTCCATTATATGCATGTGCCGGATTTTGTTTATCCATTCATTGGTGAATAGAAATTTATACTTTCCGCTATTTTGCTACTATAAATAATGCTACTATGAACATTTATGAACAAGCAAACAAATTTTTGTGTGGGCATTCTTATAATTCTGTTGTGTATAAACCTATGAGTGGAATCCCAATTCCACTCATAGGCTTATATATAATAGAATTAATAATTCTGTGTCATAATTTCACAGCTTCCAGACTGTCTTCAAGGCAGCTACTAAGGTGGGATTTTGGGTAGGAAAGGGACTTTCTAATTGGCCTGCAGTTTTATTTGATAGTCCTGATATGGCTGATAGTGGACAGGTGGAGCAAGTTACAAACATTTCAAAAGAGGGAGTATTATTTAATATTAGAGATGGAAATTTTTCCATGGTTGGTCATTTCCTAGAAAAAGCATGTTTCAATGGGGTAGTTTTTTGGTGGTCAAATCATTATAATGGTCTTTTTGGTGTGAGGCTGCTAAGGCAGGCAGTTTCTAACCATATAACAGGGTTGAGAAGAGAAAAAAAAACATAATAAAATAAAAAATCATAAAATAATGTGAAAAAAATTTTTTTTTTTTTTGTCTTTTTCCGTGTCCGGCAATGGATCGCAACCCTCAGTGTTGCCCCCGTACCAGACCGGGGACCGGCAACGGGATCGCAAACCTCGGCATTGCTCCCATGCCTCGCTCAGCCAGTGAGCAGGAACCGGTCTGTATGTGGGATCCGAACCCTCGGGCGGGAGCGCCACCACGCTTCCCAAGTGGCGCACTATCCAGTGCGCCACCGGGCCGGCCATAATGTGAAAAATTTAAAGGTTGAATAACATGTCAGCTTTTTCTTTGATTGCATTACTGCATCATACTATTCAAAGGATATCAACAGTTAGTGCTAAAAGTCTTGCAAAGTGAAGTGTTTGTTGCTTTTATTTCTAGGCATTTTTGTTTCAAAAAAAAGTTGTTATCATGTACCTTTTTCCTGATCTGACTAGATTCTCAAGTGGGTGTTTTACGCTTTTGGAATGTTTCAAGAACAACACCTATTGATAATTTTAAATTAAAGAAAACAGGATTTCACTGCTTACATGTACTGAATTCTCCTCCAAGGAAAAGATGTAAGTAAAAATATCATCAAAATCTTAATATTTTAAAATACTGTGTTTTCTGTAAAATAAAATGACTGATATAGTGATATAAGCAAATCAAATACCATATACTACTGAAAAGCAGTTTTTTAAAAATATCCTTTGACAATATATGTGCTAAAGGAACCTTGAAAACCATATAATATCTAATATTACTAAATTAAAAATATCCAGAGCCAAGTTATATTTGTAAAATACTGTTAAATGAGAACATTCACATCATCTCAAATTATCTATATGGAGAAGATGAAACAATGGTATTGGTGAAAATAAACTAGAAATATCAAGAATAATGGGATTGAATAAGATTTGTCTCAACTGGGAGAATTTATGTTTTAAACATGGCTCATTTACAATCTGTACAGTTTATATGAAAGTTAAAATAACAAAAATTCAAATTATAGGATTTTAGAACTTATATTTCATGTTTTAATATCAGTTCTCACTGGATTAGTAATTAATATTATTGATGTTCTGTATCTTCTTTATTTATTCTTGTGGGTTTTTTTCAGATTATTATTCATTGCTTCTGTAATTAAGACAAAATAGTAAAATATAATTCATCCATAAAAGAAGAAATCTGGAAGTTTGGGGAAGGTTTAGAAGTAGAATTTTTCTTAAATATAAGAGATAAGAAATCAACTTGCTGTTAAGTAATGATTGGTGGTGTTCCCATTTTGTGTGATTCATAAAAAACGTGGGGTAGGAAATTTAGTGATTAAAAAATCTACAATAATTGATTTCTCCTTACTGCTGTCTACCTTTATAATAAGCAATTAGCAGTGGCTATTTATAGTAATGTTATTTTGGTATCTAATCTAGTGGGTAATGGCAAGTAGTAGAAAATCTCTGTATTTGAACCTCCAGTGTTTCCACAAATTTAAGCTTCTCTGTGTAGTCCTAGTACTTCTAGAGCCTGGAAACTGGAGGGTCTAGAAGTATTAGGATTGGAGAGGTAATATGCTGGAGACTGGCATATTACTTATGTATCTTGCAGATTTTTTAGTCATTGTTAGTTTCTTTGTTTAGTGGCTTTGAACTTCCATATCATGGAATGACTGAGATGTCTCAGGTTCTTTTCTTTTTATATATATTTTTTTCTTCCAAAAGTAGTCCATGTCCATTTGACAAAAATCAGAAAATATAAAAAAAGCACATACCAATTTCATTTGTGAGTAATTCCTTTTAGATTACCTATTGTTAGACTTCTAGGGAGCCCACCCCTCCAATTTTTTAATATAGCAGAAAGTATGGAATAAGAAGAATTGTGAAAATGGAATTTTTAAAATGTAGACATACTCACTGAGTTCTATAAAACATGAATTACAAATAAATTGGTGCATAAAGGTTGTCAGAACAACCCATGATGTCAACTAATTAAAATATTAGAAAAAACAGTCATAAATTATATTAATTTTTAAACAAACTGTTAGCAACATTTCATTAAACCAAATTGATGGTTACCAAATGTCTCTTTTGTTATTTGTAGTTTTGTTATACTAGTTTGGACTTTCCTTCATTCTCAGATTCTAAGAAATGAATATTATCCACAAGGAATACAAGAAGAAAAGCTCTATTATATTGTAACCAAAAAATGAAAATGCTGGGAAATGTTTATTTATATTCTAGTAGGTAATTAATAATAGATTGGAATAATAATTTCCAATGTTTTATTTTGGATTATCTTTGCAAGAAAATATTCACATTGTAAGGAAAAGCTTCTTGAATGAGGAAAAAATGTAGGATAAAGATATACAAAAAATAACTAAATAAGGAGACATTTATGTAGTTGAAAGTAGGAGAAATGGAAGTCTGAACAGTAAAAAAAAAAAACTGAGGAAGGAGGAAGAAAAATTGAGATTTAGATTTATGTCCGTGTCATGATTCTTAATTTGGGTGCTAAATTAAAGTGAATTAAAAATAATCTCAAAAATAATTATTTTCATTGGTTTGGAAATTAGTGGCAGATTGTTATTTGTCTTAAAAGAAAAATATTACTTGCATATATACTTTCATGTGTGGAATAAAGTGGTATTAGTTTTTTGAAGGAGATAAGAAACCAAGTATTTACAACAGATTGTGATTTCTCACATACTAATTTTCATTCATTTTGCTCCATCTGCACTTTTATACACTTCCTCAGAATAACATCCAATTTTGTGTTTATATTTTCACATTTTTTGGCAATGACACAAAAGTGCTCATGAGGCAGAAAATGTGATTATTGCCTAAAAGTTTACTAATACAGATTCTGGATTTAAAAAACAAAACAAAACAGCGAAGTATCTTTATAAATTAAGCCCTGTGGTTTCATTCCAATGGGAAGCTGTTGGCATAAATGTTTACTTTTTTTTCTTGTTTTTTAGTTTCAGTCCAATCTCCAATCAAAAATCATTATACATCCTCAACAAGTGAAGCAGTTCCACCCCCAACTTTGACACAGAATCAAGCATTTTCTCTTCCTCCTGGTCATGCGGTGTGTTGTTTCTTGGATGGTGGAGTTGGACTTTATGATATGGGAGCCAAAAAGTGGGATTTTCTTAGGGATTTGGTATGTCTGTGTTCATTCTTTTTATTACCCACAACATTTATTTTCTGTAAACCCATGATATTTACTTTTACCTGTGTATTAATATTATTAAAAATTATTTTTGTAGGTAATGATATATTAGAACTTTATCTTAGTTGGTTGAGACATTTTAGAAAAATATATAGAATAAAACTATTAAAGATATTAAAATTCTTTAAACATTATACTTTTAAAAATATTAACATCTACTTAGCTTATGTTTTGTGTAATGGAAACTTACATAGCTGCACTATATTTTGGAAGCAAAATGAGAAATTCTTGTAGGAGGAAGGCTAAGTCAGTCTCTGCCAATTATTCCAAGACTTATTCTTCTTATTTGTGAATTGAGTAAGGTTGATTAGGTGTTTTCTAAAATTTATTTCTATTATTAAATCGTTATAAGAATTCTATGATTCTATGAATTCTGTTCTTATGATCATTAAGCCTCCATGTAAGGTAGAATACAGCCTGTCTGAGGTCCTACATTTTTGTCTGATTTTAATCTATGCTATATTCCCACTACCTAATGTAGTGCCTGGCACATAGCAGGACTTTATTAAGTTTTGTTGAATATATAATAATGTAAATGTGTTATACTTAGTATTTGCCAGGAGTCATCCTCCTTGATTCTCCCTAGTCCAGAGCTAATACATACGTCTCTGATTTTTTGCACAAGTTTGCATTATACTAATCTAGATGTCTAAGAAACTTTTAAATATTAATTGTTTTCCTGTGATCTCAGAAAAGGAATCTAGAGCTATAATTGTCCTTGTAAAAGAAGGGAGTGTAAGAATCAGTAATATTGTATCATTTCAGGACTGCTCATTTAATTTTGTCCTTAAATAAAAAAAATGATTTAAAGCAAGAATATTTTTGAAAGAATATGTAGCCTAATTATTTTTCTGTATTCCTTTTGTAGATATTCGTTAGAAGATGATTTTATTTTCTTTCCATTTAAACTTTTATTTCCATGTAAACTATCCCAGGTGGTAAACTTTTTCTGTACTTCAGATTACCATTTATCTTCAAACAGATTTATGAAAGAAAAAAGAGAAAAATATAAGAATATATTTAAATTTGTATAAAGTTATATTAGTAAAAGAGAAGTCATGCAATCTGAATTCAATAAATTTTATATTGTGCATCACTTAATGTTAAAATGTTTTATTTAAAATCTACATTAAATTTATAATTTTAATAAATACTAAATGTACTTAATTATAAATTATTTCAGTGGCTTTTCTCATTTTAAAAATGTCTGCCAGTTAAAAGGAGGCAGTCATTTATTTTCTTATATGTCTCTGGTCTTAACACAGCCCCAAACTTGAAATTGCTAGAAGTATTACTAGAAGAAACAACCATCTGTGATCTGCTTTATATATAAAGTACCTCCAAAGATTACAAATTATGTAGGCTAAGAAAAAGTCTTATTAACATGCATTCTAAAATGTGTACTTCCACATGAATGTTTGCTTGCTTAAAATTAAGAAAAATGCTGCAGGATTTTGTTCTTCATCCTCACCTTTCCTTTGTAAGAAAACAGAGAAGAAACATTTAAAATTTTGTTCTTGCTATGAGAATTTTCAAATTTCCAAAAGTAAAATTTGAAGGCATGATAGTGAAATGACATTTAAAAATGTGCGTACACATAGTCCTTGCCACCTGGAACAACTCCAGCTGGGTGAACCAGTGGTTATAACAACCTCTCTTCCTTCCTTCTTGCTAACCCTTGAGATTTTGACTCCTCTGCTTTGTACTTAAAGGAGAAACTTTTACAGCACTTCTGCAGTTTTCTAAGGGTTATGATTTCTGTTATTAATGAAAGTACATAGAGTTTAAAGGGCTTCCTTCTCTACCTTTACTACATTTGTTAAGGAAGAGAAGGCCTTGTTCCTGTGCTTTAATTCCCTCTCTAGATCACAGCATGTTAGAGTTTTTGCTGCTTAACGGGACGTTCAATTCCTGTTCCTCAATATTTGGAAGAAGACAAATTGTAACTCTGGCTGTTTAAGTTGGACTCCTAACAGGCACATAGTGATTAAACACCACTTTACAGGTGTATGTTTACATGTATCTTTATATATCACTTAAGGAATGGAAACATCATATCTAAGGAATACCTGCACTCCCATGTTCATCAGAGCTCTATTTATAATAGCCAAGATATGGAACCAAGCTAAATGTCCATCAACAGATGACTGGATAAGGAAAATGTGGTATACATATACAATGGAATACTACAAATCCATAGAAAAGAATGAAATTCTGCCATTCACAGCAACATGGATGAGCTTGGAGAAAATTGTGTTAAGTGAAATAAGCCAGGCACAGAAAGAGAAATATCTCATGTCCTCACTCATAAGAGGGAGCAAAAAAGGAAGGAAGGAAGGAATGACAACCACAGTAATACACTGAACTTTCAGAAAGAGGGAGCAGAACTATGATTACTAAAGGTGGGAAAGGGGGAGGCACAGGGGGAGTAGGGAGAAATTGGTTAATGTACACAAAGAATAATTATGTTTTGTAATGATAAATATGCTAATAATACTGATTTTATAATCACATATTTTATACAAATACTGATTGTCAACTCCATACCCAATAAATATGTATAATCAATTATGTTTCAATAAAAATAAATAAATAAATTTTTAGCATAGTATCCTGTACATGAAACAAGTCTGAAAACTATGTTTTGCATTGAATTGAAATTGAAAAATGAGATTTTGAACATATGAATTTGCTGATTTGAGGACCTGTGGTTGAGTAAAATCCAGGTCTGTACAAAATATAATAATATGACAAAGAATACTCAATCACAGCGATGATTCCAATTTTCTGTGTTTTTTGGTTGCCAATGTATTTTGTATTAATATTTGAAAAACCATAATGCATATGTCAATTTGATTATACATTATGGTTTGTTTGTTAATAACATAAATTTTCCTCAGTTGTTGTGACTTTTTGTGCTACATTTCTAGGGACATGTGGAAACTATTTTTGACTGCAAATTCAAACCTGATGATCCGAATCTTTTAGCAACAGCTTCATTTGATGGCACTATAAAAGTTTGGGATATAAACACATTAACAGCAGTATACACTTCCCCGGGTAATGAAGGGGTTATTTATTCCCTTTCATGGGCTCCAGGTAAGAAGTATTTTGTTAAAATCAGAATGAAGCTAAATGGCTTTTCTAAATTTTATTTTCATTTGAATTATCTTCTTCCTCTTGATGTCTTCTTGTTCCAAATGATTATAGAGGCGAATTATTGCCAATATATTGGTTGATATATTTTTTGTTAGGTTTTAGAATAGACTACCTCAGGAGGTTCTTTGAGTTCTGGGCCCTTCTATATGACCACAGTAAATCAGGATGATCTTCACCCATCTAATTTTAGTGTATTTGTACTCATATAGCTATGCCTTTAAAGGTGTAACACGTTTCACATGCCAGATGTTTCCCTGAAATTTTTCATGTGAATCAAATTTATGAAAATAAGATTAATTTTCTAAAATTATAATAAATGACTTTCTCTGATACACCTGTTTTGCAAATATGATTATATATCAGATAAGAGTTCAATAATAACCATGTAATTCTATATAAATTCCACCTATGTAATACTGAAGAACTTTTATGCTATTATAGGGTCTTTTCTTTGATCTCAGAAAGATGCTACCTCATACCTTACTACACATAAAGGAGAGAAGAGACATGCTATGACACCTCTGACATTTTCTCCCAAAACATTATTTCCCTATAACAAATAATTTTACACACTTAAATGGATTTTTTTAACTTAATAAAGTATATGTAATGCTTTACATATTTGTCCTAAATGTAAATACTAGTTTAATAACCTTATTAAACTTATAAGGTTACTTTTTAATAAGGTTATTAAACTTATAAGCTATACTTATAAACGTATAGCTTATTATTTTTTAACTTATTTCTTCATACACTGGGATTCTTAACCTTGAATGTATGGGCCTTTGGGGATTTTAGATGTCTTCAGAGAGTCTGGGAATCTCTTAGAATTTTATGAATAAGGTTTAATATATATGTGTATATGCCTATGTCTGTCAAAGACTATCATTGAAATTAGATTTTCAGAGAGGTCGATGACACAAAAAAATTAAAAGACCAGTCCTTCGTATATCTCTCATCTCCTACAATGAGAAGTCCAAAAAAAATGATCTTATTTACAGCTCTTAAGCATAGTGTTTGTTCCTTTAAGCAGAGCATACCTAAACCTGCTCTTAGTTATGGAAATATGCATCATCATAGCTGTTTCCCTTGGCTAGTTATGTAAGAGTTGGGTCAGCCAATGCTGTAACATAGCACTATAGCTGTTACTAGTTGAACACTCTTTCTCCTACAAAAATATATGTCTCAAACCTAAAACTTAAATAAAAATGGTGACTATAAAAACCATTGTTTCAAATCATAGCACAGAAAGTTTAATCTTACTTAAAGCATATTTTTACTCTCTACATTGAGAATTTACATTATGAAAATAAAAATGTTGGAAAATAGAGATTCTATCATTTTTTGCTCTGTGATTACTGATAAATCAAGATTTTTAGGTAAGTGGGGATGAAATATAAGAAATTAATGAAGGTTGACAATGATGGAAATAGAATAGGATATAGATGATTGTATAATTTCTATATTTTAGAGTAAATACCACAGGGAATAAAGGTGCAAATAAATTTGGAAACATGTCCCCATATTTGAAAAACTTCAAAAAGGGAGCAGGATGAAAATACTAGAAATATGGTGAGAACTTTTCTTTTTTAGTGTTTGTAATCATTTGTCACAAAACAATTCCTCATATTCTCACTCCTAAATAGCAAATGACAGCTGTTCTTTATTTCTAAAGGAGAAAATCTTTTTTCTTTGTCTTGCAGAAAGTTCTTGTTTAAGTTCTTGGGCATCTACTAACTTAGCAGTTGTTTCATTTTCACAGATGTTTCATTTTCACAGATATCTTTTATTTTTAAAAAATGGAAAGCATTTGTTTCTGTTTTTGAGAGAGAAACTGAATATGAGATCTTCTTATAAAAATACTTTAACTTAAAATATTACTAGATAGTCATGGAAATATGAATACTGTGTATGTGATAATATTGGAATTATTGATAGTTTGGTCTTGATAATAAAAGAATCCCTGTCTTTGAGATATCTGTACTAAATTATATATTGATGAAATGATGTCAGAGATTTGCTCAAATGAAATCCAGTGGGGGTTATAGACAAAACAAAATTGGTCATATTTTGATAATTATTGAATCTATATGATAGATACATTCATTGCATTATTCTCTCTATATTTGTGTATACTTGATACTTTCCATTACAAAAAAATTTAAAAATAATTACTGTGCAAGTCTCAAGTTTTAAATTTTCAAAAATTACATTTGTGGCAAACATTTAATATAATATCTAACAAATTGTTCCCTAAGGTGATTTAAGTTGTATTGCTGGGGCAACTTCACAAAATGGTGCTTTTATTTGGGATGTTCTAAAAGGCAAAATGGTACAACGATTTAATGAGGTAAGATGTACTTATTGCTACTGATGGTATAATGTCTATGCTCCTTCATTTTTTGCGACTGTTTTTCTCTCTGAATTTAACAGTTAATAACCATGTGGTATATATACTCTTAATTAGAAGAAAATCCAAGGTGATATTCACATGTCAAAATGAATTTGGAAAATTGTAGCTAAGTCTAAGTCATCTAAAGTCGCATTAGAGATTTAAAGGAATTTTTAGTCATCCTCCACAAATGACTAAGTAAATATTAAATAATGGGAAGAAGACTAAACTCAGGAAAGGTTCCAAATATAGTCCTGATTTTGTTATTAATTATCTCTGGACCTAGGGAAAATTATATTATTGCCTTGAACATGTTTCTCTACCTATAAAATTATTAATTTGAACTATAGGAGTATAATGTCTTAGTTTTCCCTCCAGTTCTCAAGCTCTGTTGTTTCATGACATACCCTAAAATCTGCCCTCTTCCCATGTATAGTGTCACAGATTGTATTTATCATTTAGCCTGGAGATAAATTATCATCCTATATTTTACTGACTTCCATTAATGTTTGAAAAATACATATGATCTAATTACAGTATGTTAGGTATGAATTGGGAGAAATGTGAATAGGATCTTGCCTTGTCTCTCACTTGAAATTTTATTTATTTTAAACAATTACTGTTGAAGCTTTTTAAATATATAATGTCTTTGAAAATTATTTCTATATTTGTGGCTTTAAAACCATTTACACAAAAGACTGTTATCCCTTGATGATTCCCTATCTCCCAGAGAGTACTTCAGTACTCTGCAAACGCAGAGTATTAGGGAAACTTTATCAATCACGAGTAAGCAATTTTGCACTCAAAAGAGAAACACTGACAAAGAATTATAAAAGTTACATCCTTCCCTTTCTCCGCATACAATACAAAAATACTCTTTCAGTTCAGCAGTGTCCGAAGCTGCCCTCTGCCCTCCCATCCACAGAACTTATCCCATAATAAACAGTAGGATGTAAGAGAAAATGAGCCTGAAATGAAACTTTTGGCCTAGATTCAAAAATTTTATTCTTATTTATCAGATATGTTGATTTTTTGCTAGAGCATCTTGGCATCTTATGATATAAAATATCTACCCATTAACACTTAAGGAGTTCCATCCTAAGTCTAGCAAAACAAGAACATCCCTTGTATCCATTTATGTTTTTTTCTGTCATTCAATAGCACAGTTAAGATAATATCAAAATTTCTAAAATTCTATATAATATGGGAAAAAATTAACATTGCCAGCTTTAATTAACTAAGCTACATGTGCCCCACAAAAGGAAATACAGGATATTAGAGAGCCGAAATTCACTTCCATGGGATAATTGAAGCCGAAAGAAAGCCTCTACTACTTAAACTAAATGAATATAGGGATTAATCCTGTGTTATTTTTTAATTGAAACATAATTTATTGTACATATTTGTAGGGTACAGAGTTGACTATCAGTACTTGTGTACAATATGTGATGATCAAATTAGGATAATTAGCATCATTACAAAATGTAATCATTCTTTGTGTCCATTAACCAATTTCTTGCTAACCCCTTCCCTTGCCCGCTTTTCCACCTTTAGTAAGCACAGTTCTGTTCTGAAAATTAAACATATTATTGTGATTGCTCTTTATCTTTCCTTCCTTCCTTCCTTCCTTCCTTCCTTCCTTCCTTCCTTCCTTCCTTCCTTCCTTCCTTCCTTCCTTCCTCTCTTCCTCCCTCCCTTCCTCCCTCCCTCCCTCCCTCCCTTCCTCCATTCCTCCCTCCCTCCTTACTTAGCTCCCACTGATGAGTGAGGACATGTATTATTTCTCTTTCTGTGCCTGGCTTATTTCACTTGATGATTTTCTCCAAGCTCATCCATGCTCCTGTGAATGGCAGAATTTCATTCTTTTTTAAGGCAGAGTAGTATTTCATTGCGTGTGTGTGTGTATGTGTATATATATATATACACATACACACACACACACCATGTTTTCCTTATCTAGTCATCTGTTGATAGACATTTAGGTTGGTTCCATATCTTGGCTATTGTAAATAGAACTGCAATGAACATGGGAGCGCAGATATCCATTA